AAGTAAGCGTTGAGTGCAACCTGTGCTTTAGCCTGGGCTTCAGCAACAGCGCTTGAAACAGGATCATCGTTAACAACGAGTTTTTTCTCTTCACGCGCAGCTAAACACATATCAGTATAACTCGTATCATTATCCAAATTGTTACCTTCACGCTCAGCATAAGCTTTAGGTTTCTCCCAAGTGTTCTCTTGAGTGACTGAGTTAAAGTAATACTTTCTACCATCGGGAGCACTGAACTCTTGCCAAGCATCGTCAGCACCAGAAGGGGCAGCTCCACCCATGTAGTTCATGCCGTAGCCGTAACCTTAAAAGGCGATAAATCTCAATTCTGTTAAGAACGATACATACCACCGCCTGCAGCGCCGTTCTGACCGAAACCGGCAGCGTTTCGTTCTGGAATGGCAAGGTATCAGTAAGTGATGCATGACTTCAATCAATTATATATTTATATTATGACCCCTTTCACAAATAAGAAACGCGCTCATCAACTTTTCGAAAAGAGGAGAACTCAGTTTTTGCATAAAGCAAGCGGATAAGAGAAATAGACTTTACTCTATAGCGCGATGAGCCATGAGGTACGTTGGTGAACTTGGTTCGGCTTCCGTCGGCAACCAAAACTCAGAGACGTGACTTTAAAACAACTAAAGATTAGCTGATGTTTTGAGGACGTTAACGCGACAATTTAAGATTTTCTTGCTTTCTACGTCAACTTAGACCTTTCACTCAAACTGCGGGTCCAACATTGAACATTAATGGCATCTTTTCCAAAAAAAACAATGAGACCTCTAAAACTCACCTGAATTTCCTGAAAACCCCTACCAAGTTTAAAGCAAGAAAACCTACAGAATAATAAATCTCACCTTCTTGCTCTAACCTTCCCTCTTCAGTGGCTCGCTGAACAAGGTCGGCTAGTTGTGTTTGATCGATCACCTTCGCGTTTGCAGGTTTCTCCCAAGCAGTTTCTCTCGTGATAGCATGATAATAGTATTTCTTGGAGCCTTCTTGAGTTTCTGTCTCAACCCAAAGCTCTTCGTCACCTACACATCCGGCAAGCTGGAAAAATATCTGATGTAACATCTTGGAACAGTGAACTTACTCTTTTAATTCGAGATTCTTGATCAGACTCTTGGGAAGCTCCCTGAGATCCATAGCCGAAAGACGCGGAGTTTGCACTGGAGGAAGTTGTGGAGGTAGGATTTGGGAAGAATGTTCTTCCAGGTTGATATCCAGGTCTAGTAGGGGGAAAACCACGACCGCGATAGTTAGGAGGAAAACCTCTGCCTCTCATAAACGGAGGAGCTGTAATATTATATTTAAAAATTTACATAAGAATTTTTCAATTAAGGACCTCCGCGACCCCTGAAGAAAGATACACCAGGCGGCGCCCCACGACCTCTAAATGCCCCAAAGGCTGCTCCTCTAAAAGCTCAAGGTTTTGATGGAAAGCTAGCATGCGAACACCTGTATGCTCCTCTACCCCCATGTTGAGCATCCCCTTCGGGATAATCTTCGCTATATTCACCTTCGCCGCCACCGCCATAATCATAATACTCATCTCCATACTCTCCATCTCCTTCTGCATACTCCTGACCATTGTAGTCGCCTTGCTCCATATCTACTAAAACTTTGGCTTAAAGAAACGAAACGCAGGGCCCCAAGTAAGTGTAAGCGTGGCGTGAAAAGCGCTAAGTAAGCGGGACAGGACAAAAATTTTTAAGATTGAAACACACGAATCACCTGGAAAGCCATCGTCATCAGCTCTCTGTTCTCCTTTCTCGTGATCATTACCATCCGAAATACCATGGTCTCCCAGATTTGCTTGATTTTCGTTATTTTCCACCTCCATTCTGCAATGAAACGATACATTTCGAAATTCCTTTTTTCCAATGCAACGTTCTTATGCGAATGAAGAATACAAACTCAGCTTAATT